CCCCCCCCCCCAACACACACTATGTGGATCTGATTTCCTCAGGAATACAGGGCTTGTTTTTCACATTCATATGGTGGGAAGGTCTCATTTTACAATTTGACAAATTTAGATAGAATGTTACTGGAGAGGTTCTGATAATTGAAGGAATGTGTTCTCTCAGCTGTTAGGAGATGTGCCAATGCAACCCTATTGTGAAGCCTTGTCTACAATGTCATTTTGGACAGATATGTCTGATTGAACTGTGAAAAAGCTGCTAAGGTGCTGTTAAGAAGTAGGGCAGAACTCATCCTTGGCCAGTGGTCTGAGGGCTTATCCAGGATCTCTGGTGGATTTGCAACTCTTGGTATAAAGACAGTGTTTCTTGGGCTGTGCTTCTGATATATTTGATGTTTTCTTTCTAATGTTATACTTGTCTACACCAGCTGGTGTGTGAGCTACGGGTGCTGTCTTGCAGATAAAGTGTAGTGCTTATTTCCACAAGGAATCGTGGAGGGCAATCTGTTTCCAAAACTATCTGCTTAAATTAGGTAAATTGATAGAGGAAAAATCAGTCTGCTTCTGTTGCGCATGAAGATTTTGGTACAAACTCCTGTCTCAAGAAATCCTTATGCTGGACATAAGGAAGCAGAAACTTCCATATTTGAGAATAATTAGGGCTGTTTCGTTTTAGTTGTTAGAGATCAGTGGAAGAGCCTGACAATAACAGAGAAAGTTAATCTCTGGGTTGGGCAGTTTACAGTGGATCTGACACTTTTAAGATGCATACTGTGTGACAGCTGCCATGAATCAGATTATTAGAGGGATTTTCTGCTCCCTAAAATTTCTTTATTCCTGCCTTTCTCAAAAATGGGGATGGGGTAGTGTGAAGCCTGTCAATGAGCTAGAGGAGATGTTCAGAAGCCAGACAAGCCAAAACATTTACAGATTCTGCTAATACTATGAAGATGAAAGGAATCCCCAAATAAAAGAGTCAGAGACATATTTAGCAGAGTTTCATTCCTAAACAGCCAATTGGATGTAGGCAGGAAGGTCTCCACACATGTCTCAGAAGTTGTTTTCCCTTATAAAGTAATGGCTTGTGATGTTATGAGTAAAGAGGTTACTTCATTCCCAATTTTCTGTAGGATTTGGGACAAGACTACAGCTTCTGCCCTCCTTTACCAGAAAAGTATGGCATCTGTGAAATGGTGTGTGGCCTCTGCACTGGCATTCTTCAGGGCAGCTGGAGCTCTTTTCTAGGCATCATGTCTGTGCAGCTCCTGCTGCTGTAGAGTCCCAAGCACATATTCTGTCTATACAAGAATCTGCACAAGTTACTGATAACCAAAGGACTTGACTTAAGGAACATGTAGCTAAGAGTTTCCATTGGTATCTTGAAGACACTTGAAGTCAATATGGAAGTTCCCATTGTGCAAGGCAGCTTTGCTGGTATCACTATAAAGACAGCAAGTGAAAAAGGCATGAAAGAAAGAAAGAAAAAAATTTTTTTTCTGCTTATTTTCCTTTATCTGATCATCCTCTGGACATGGTTCTGTGGTGAAGACTGCAAAATGGTTTAGCATGGACAAGCAAAAAAGTTCTCAGAGGAAGCCAAATAAAAACCATTGGTTTTGGCTATGGATACAATTAAATAACTTCAACCTCAGGTTATAGACACACCGAGCAAATTATGCCAATTATGATGATTTCTACACAAAGGAGTGGGATAAGTACTGAGAGATAGCAAAAAATGATGATGGAAGTGGCTTTCAGAGGGGAAAATTTCAGGAATGGTGCTGTTTTCTTTTTCCCACAAAAAAAAAAAAAAATAAAATATATATACATATAAAATTGAGCTAAGCTGGTATATGTGCATAGAGGAAAGTTCAGAGGTTTGATCCCCAGCATTAAGGCTTGGTCCTCAGAAGATTGCTTCTGTTCAGTTTTGCTTAGATTCTTATTCCTGTCTGTGCATACTGTGAAGTACATTCTCCTCTTGCTCCCTACCCCTCTGGTTGACCTATGTTGCTGAGAAGAAACCTGTAAACTACTGCTGTATTTTTTTTCCTTGTGTGTTTTTATCTGTAGTAATATCTGTGTGATCAGAAGTCAGTTATGGAACTACTAAGCAGAAAAGAAATACCTTTATTCTATAATGTCCCTTGAGCCAGACTGACCTAATTTCCTTGCATAGTTCACCTGCTCGCCTTCCTTCCTGCCTGCACTTGGACTTTCCATAACGTAACACCCCAGAGACAAGCTGCCTGGCAAACACTGACTCTCCGCTGTGTGCTGGAGGATGGTTGTGCAGCCTCTCCATGTTTTTGTTGTGTTGCTCCTGTGTATCCATCGCTGCTGCTCAGTGAGCCTCTGGGCTTGCTTCTCCCTTCTAGTTTTTATAGCCCTGCCTCTAATATCCTTCACATGGTAAGTCCCCCCAGACAAGTGGTGTTTCCTCTGTGTCACCATATGAACAACTGCCTGCTCTGACTGAGACTCTGTGTCAGCCATATCTTTTTCATGAGCACCCAGAAAGCAGGGATTCCTACATCTTTGGTGCCCATGACAGGCTACGTTATGAGTGATGCACACTCAAGTAACCATTCCTCATAGCAGCCAAGGGTTTGTGGCTACCATCATTGTCACCCCCAGTAATTGTGGTGCTCACCAGGATAAGTTCACAGAAACTGTGGTGAAGCTTAACAGTGATACAAAAGTGTCTGTGTGGCCACTGCCTCCTATAATAGCCACAGAGATCTCTTGTGAAAGCTTTAATGTGTATTTCTAGCTATGCTGAGGTGCAGTGTGAATGGTGTACCAGTTCTAATGAAGAGTTGTTTAGTTGGCTCTGCAATCTCGTGTGTTTCTCTGCTAGAGCAGCCTCTCTAGTAAGTTTTTTTTGGGTGTGAATATCTTCTCATTAAGGTGAAAAGTTTGGATTGTTTTGGATATTTGTCCGAGTCTTTGTATTCCCAAGGAGAAGTAGTAGATGATGCTTCTGAAAACATTAGATTGTGTTTTCTCTGATCTAGGAGGAAATTTACTTTTATATCAAAATCAGACATGATACTTCAGTGAAGGGTTCTGCTGTGTGAAAGTCTCCTTCCTCTTGACCTGTGTTTCTTAATCTAATACCATAAGTAATTTTTCTCTGCTATATTTTTGAGTGTTGCTGGAAAACAAATTATTTAATTTTGGTTGTCCTTTAAGTGTCAATTGGAGATACAAGAAAAAAAAAAAAAGGATCTCTTTATATGCTCTATTGTAGTCCATTTACCTTGGTAAGGTTTTAATCTGTGGAATTTGTTTGTTTGTTTTGTTGGGGGTTGTTTTGTTTTGGGTTTTTTTTTTGTGTGTTTGGTTTTGTTTGTTTGTTTTATTGGGGGTTGTTTTGTTTTGGGTTTTTTTTTGTGTGTTTGGTTTTGTTTGTTTGTTTTTGTGTTGTTGTTGTTTTAGCTGTCTCTTATCTTTTGTCCCAGTGCTGGAACTGAAATAGTAAATAGCTTTTGCATGGCTCATGTTCCAACATTTGTTAGCTTCTGTTTCTGACCCTCAAAGGAAGTTACATTCCTTAAAAGTTCCTTTCCTTAAAAGTTAAATTCCTTTTGGTTTTCACTCCATAATTCTGCCTATGTACTATCTCTACTAATGGCCTAATTCTTATAATCTCTACATCAAAAACTCCCACTGTGGTTGTATGGGAGAGTTTCTGCATTAAGACTCAGTCAGCACACACGATTCCCCTCTCCATTGTAACAAGACTCATAAAGCAAGGATCTCACTTGGATACTCATATCATTCTTCGTCTGTGTGCTTAGAGCTTTTTTGAATTTGTAATGGCTTAATAATGGAGTTTGAGATGCTGATTTCTGGCCTTTATTTTGACAAAATATTTTTTGGCTATGGAAGGGCTGCTTGTTAGAATCATCCTGCCCAGAGAACAGCTGGCTACAGCTGTAAAAATCCAGTCCGGTGCTGAAAATAATGTGTACAGTGAGAACCATTACTTTATTTGCTAAAAATATGTTCAGTCAAAATCTAGATGGGGCTTAAAAAATTTAACAACCCTGTTATGAGAAATTTGAGGTGAGTATACAACAGTTCAGGCTTGCAGCCATCAGTGGAGTGAGTAGCACTAGGGAGATGTTGGCCCACAGGTCAAAGGTTTTGAAAAAAAGCTGAGAGAGTAACAGGATGGATTCTAACCCATTGCAGCCTAGAAGGGATAGTTAGAATGTTTGAATGGAACATTTTCACAACCTTCAAATACTTCACTCGGAACCCTATACAACAGCAGGTTTTTCACTACAATTAAGCCTGTGGGCAATAACTAGCAAACAAGAGAAAGCACTTTAGATTAAAAAAAAATCTCTAATGAGAACAAAATGTTTATTTAAAAATGCCTTCTCTGTTACAAAAGACTGCTCTTCCAATTTCTTATTCTGCTTTTTGGATGTTCTAATGGAGGCCTGGACCTTTCTTGCTTGAACACATGCCACTCCTTCCAGAGAGTGTCTATTGTGGGCACACTCCATCTCTCTGTATTTTAGCAACTCTCCTCGAGTTTTAAAGTGTTTATCTTACACAGCTGAATGTCTCCTCTTGTTTCATGAGCTCTACGCTGGAATGCAGTGGAAGAGACCCAGGACCTGTGGCCACACAGATTAGAGGTTTTTTTAATAAGGTCCCTATATGGTTTTGTTAGAAACTTCAGCTCTATCTCTGCCTGTCTCTGCTCCTTGTTTGGGAGGCTAGTGGGAGGAGAAGAGCTGAAGGGCCTATATAACCTCAGAGCTTTCAGAGACGGAGTGCACCATCCCAGAGCAGCTATCCCCAGCCAAGCACTGTCAGGGTAAGTGGCACTGAACCAGTAGCATGATTTACAGATTGCTGGAGGACTTCAGTTAAATAATGCCAAATTGAAGCTATTCAGGAGGATGAACTGCTGTGCTGCAATTTGCTAAGCAAACTTACTGGAGTCAAATTGATAAAATGCTTGTAACATCTGTACTCAGTTGTCTTTATTTTATAGCATTTCCGAAAGAGAAATAGAAGTTCCACGTGATGATTTTGCTGATTCCACCAGTGGTCCAGTAATATCATAAAGACATAGTCTGTGTAATGCCATGGCTGGAATTACAACTGTATTAATGTTTAAATGAACCTATGTGACCCTGTAGTGTCATTTTTGTACAGAGTAGAGTAACTGAATGGGTGTATTTACCCACTGGGTACTAGGGTTTCTCAGCAGGTTTGCTTCAGTGCTCTTAACTCAGTGTGAGGTGATATATTTGGGGGAATGTGACTGTAAAAATATGCAGAAGTATGCAAAACAGCAGTGTCTAATAGGATACCATGAGGATGCCTGCCTATTTGTTCTTGTCTCTATGCATATGTAACTACTATTCTGTAAAATGCCAAATATTTCATTAAGGAACAGGCTACACACAGTATTTCTTGTGGGGGTGAATTAGTTGCTTTTTGTGGACATTGGGGGCATTATCGGTTATCTTTAGAGATAAAGCATGTAAAAAAAAAGAGGCCAAATACTGTATTAATTACTTGGGAGAAAAATTTCTTTTCCTCCACAGTGCTGAGTGACTTTTGCTGCTGTAAGCTATTACTACTGCATGCCGTGGCAGTCCTGAGCTGTAATGCACTGGCTGTCAACAAAGTGCCCTGTCTGACATAATTTAGCTTTGATTTTTCAACTTTTCATGCTTTTTTACTAAATATGGTTTTCATTTAGAGTCCACTAAGCTCAGAAATGTAGCCTTTCCTGCCCCCTTCTTTCCCCTCCCCCAAGTGATTTTTGGCATTGCATTAGTTGCATGGGTTTGAGCAAACCCCTGACCTTGAACTCTGTTCCAAAAACAGATGGTTGAAAAGCATATTTCCTAATTAGGAAATGGTTTGTCCAAACCAGTCTGTTCATTCATGTTAGGTAAGAATTGTACTCCATTCACTAACTGTTTGAATGTAGAGTCTGTTTTCCCAGGAGTTTAATAAATACAAAAAATTCAACTTTCTTTCCTTTCCCAATAAAGGAATAAATATAATAGATAATATCTGGGGTACATTAATTTAGGATTTCCTTGCCTTGTCCTGGGAGCTATGCACACTCAGCTTGCAGGAGTGGGGCTGTAGTCATGTCCTGTGGCTGGGGAGAGATGGAGGATCTCAGGTGAAGGATTTGGGAGAACTGTCTGTGCTTGTTCCATCCAATGGAAATGCTAAACAGATTGTGGGCTCCCTTGCTACTCAAACATGGCTCTTGCTGACCCCATTCCT